GAGACTTGAATAGCAAAGGCAATTCTAAGCATCACACGCAAGGCAGGAGGCAACACAATCCCTGACTTGAAGTTATACTACAAATCTACTATAAAAATATCAACATGGTAGTGAAATAAAAACAGAGCCAAAGATCAGTGGACTAGATTAGAAGATACAACCACAACTACAAACACACTCAACCACCTTTCTTTGATAAACGGGCCAAACATGTTCACTGGAAGAATGAAAGTCTCCTTATGAATGGTATTGGAAAAGCTGGCTCTCTATATACTGAAAACTAAATTGGACCCATGCCTATCACCATGTACTAAATTGAAATCTAAATGGATCAAATATCTGCATTATAAAACAGAAACATTAAATTTATTGGAAGACAAATTGGGTAAAAACCTTGAAGACACCAGAGTAGGTAGAGAATTCATGAACAGGACTCAAACCGCACGGGAAATACTTTCCAGAATCAATAACTGGGATCACGTCTTATTAAAATGTATCTGCATGTCAAAAGATATCTCCAGCATAGTGAAAAGAAAACTCACAAACTGGGAAAAAAGTCTTAGTGAACTGTCCCTCGGACAATGGACTTCTGTGTAAAATATATAAAGATTAAAAAAAAATTAGATCACTGCAATTCAAGGACCCAATCCAAAAATGGGCATCTGTGATAAATACATCCTTCTCAGATAAGGTAATACAAATTGCAAATAAATACATGAAAAAATGTTCATGATCATTGGTCGTTAGAGAAATGCAAATTAAAACCACACTGAGATTCCATCTCACTCCTGAATGAATGGCCAGGATCAAGAAAACTACCAAGAACAAATGCTGGAGAGGCTGTGGGGAAAAAGGAATGCCCCTGCACTTTGGTGGGAGTATAGACTGGTGCAACCACTGAGGAGGTCAGTCTGGATGTCCCTCAAATACCTGGGATTGGAAGTCCCATTAGATAAGCTATTCCACATCCATATTCTCAGAAGAACTGAAAACATCATACCACAATGATCTATGTCCACACATTATTATAGCAATACACTTTGTCATAGTCACATCTTGGAAGCAATCTAAGGGTCCAGAAACTGAGGAATGAATAAAAACGTTGTGGTATTTTTATACAATGGAGTACTACTCAGCTATAAAGTAGGATCACATGGAGATATTTATAAATAAATGGACGCAGCTTGAGACCATACTAGTGAGTGAAATAAATCAAATTCACATGTGTAAATACAGAATAGTTTCCCTAGTGTAAGAAATGATAAGAATACATAAAAGTACGTGATACTCATGATTTTGAATCATATTGGTATGAAGCCATGTAATGTTTTCACTCATTAATTGGAATGATTTTAATCTGCTTTGTTCTATTTTATTGTCTGTGATAGGATGTATAGTATTTTGAAGAAAACAAGACATCATAATAACTAGTGCAGATTTAATATCACCTTAATTTGAAGTCCCATTAAGCTGTTGTTCATCTGTTTTCATTGCTTTGAAAATGTTGTATCTTACTATATTTTACTATATGCAATAGTATAAACAAAAATTTTTAGAAGAAAAGTGATAACATAGAAACCATTGTTCGTTTTCTGTTAGCTGGTTCTAAATACCCTGTAATTCTTTCATTTTCTTGAATGGCTTCACACTGTCTTGATATGTTTGATGCTATAGTATATGAATTTATACTCAAATAATTTAAGGAAGGAGAGCCTAAGGTAACTAGTCTTATGTCAGGTTATCTGGTGGTGAAACACAATGATGCTTAAATTGTTCGATTCTGACCTGTGTTGTTCTGTTACTATGTCTTATTTAATAGCAATCTCCTCATTTTTTACTTTAAAAAAATTAACTTATTTTTTCTTACTTTTTAATCAAGGGAAAAGTAAATTAAAAAATAGCGGGATATATTATACTAACATTGTGCTTACCTCTTAACCTGATTTGAACCCCAGTATTGCAATCCCCATCTTGTGTTGACTGATTTTACTACATTCTGTTTGGTTTGATAGTATCAAATTTGTGGGTATAGGCAACCACTTTGAAGGTAATAAGATTTACTATGATGCCCGTTATGGTGTGACAATGATACTCTTTTGAAGTTCTGTAAGGTGTCCAATGTAGGCTTTGTTGGTCTTGTTCTATACTGTTTTGTTCAATTCTACTATACCTGTTGATATAGGCAAGGCATCCTGGTAACCATCTTTGATCACCTGGTATTCTGTTTTTGCATCATGTACTATGTCCATCCTTCTATTCTAACCGACTCTGTTTTGCTTTGTCACATTTGGTTTTTTTTCTCTTCAGGAAAAAAAAGTTATAAGAACTGTGGGAGTAATAAAACCCAAAAAGTGTAATTGTTATTGTAAAAAGGAGAGGAAAAGAAAGTGGTCTAAAGGATATGACTGCATGTATATTTAAGTGTGTAGAATAGAAAACCATATTACTGAGTTTTTGTTGGATCATTGAACGGAACTATCTGCAACCTCACTGTATGACTGTCCACTCTGTATGTTTTAATTTTGTAATTTGGACAACTGTTTCCAAAGGGACAATATGTAATCTATTAACTAGTGATTTCTTACTTTATGTATTTTTCTTGAAATTCTGTAATACTTGTACCCTTTTACTGCTTTGTTTTTTTTCACTTTAAATAAAAAACTTCAGATCCCAAGCTCACACACAAAAACACAAAAAATAAATAAACTTTAACAGTGAGCGGTGACCCAGGTTTTGTGTAGCTTTGGCTAGCCATCAAGATGTAGCTGCGTCTTGGGATTTCTGTCATGGGATTGCTGCCTAAAATTGGTAGGTCTCAGCCCAAGTGGGCAAAAAGTAAAGTGCCATATCTCTGCAGAACAATGCAAAATACCACCATCTCTGAAATGGCGTCAATTAAGGCTTGCTGTTACAAAAACCAGAATTCACTCATTAGTTTAATCAGAAAATACTGAAAATATAGGGGCTGAGGGTATGGCTCAGTGTGGAGGAAGAACTTACAAAGTACTTAATGAAAAGGCCAGAGAGACAGAGAGAGGAAAACTAAGTGTCACTGCGGAGCTTTAGGGTGCAGGGTCACAAGGCTTTCAGGATTCCTGCAGGAAGCAGGCAGCTGGACCCAGTGATGAGAGATTCTGTGGTTAACTATGGTGATGAAAGTAGAAGCAACCTATGGGTCCAGTGAATAGTTAGAAGGGAAAGGGAAATATGAAAATCGTGATAGGTTGCTTTCTGGACACTATGAATTTTGTTGCTTATGCCATTGTAGGATGATAACATCACAAAATGATGAGGGTAAGCCTGGCATTGTTGCTCATGCCTGTAATCCAGAACTCTTTGGGAGGCTGAGGCAGGAGGATCCTTGAGAGTTCGAGACCAGCCTAGGCTACAGACTGAGCTCAAGGCCAGCCTGAACTGCACTGCTAGACCCTGTCTCAAAAAGACAAAAAAAATTATCAGGGTATCCTCAACTTCAGAGCTATTGTGCAAATGTGAGTCATGAGTGGCCCCTGACCTCCACCCTTTGCCCTGAACTCTTCTAGGAGTCTCAGATGAATCCAGGTCCCTGGTTCTCAAATAAACAACAGTAAAAGGGTGGGAATATAGATTAGTGTAAAGGCCTGTATTTAATGTACACTACTGGAAAAAGGATACTTTTCTCACTGTGTGTATAATAAAGGACACAACACAGTAAGAATCCAAATAGCCAGATGCATGGGATGGTCCCAAATGACCAGATCCATGCTGTCTCTGGGGTGTAGCTCTCTCCTAAGGCCATCGGTATGTTGACCAACACACAGAAGTGTTCCAAACTCTCTATTTGGTGATTTAATCAAAGCTTCATTACCTAAGCTTTTGAGTTTGTTATGTTTTGTGATTTTTCAAGACAAGGTCTGAGTATGTAGTTCAGACTGGCCTTGAACTCACTATGTGCACCTTTCATTGATTGGCCTCAGGGAGCAGAGTGCTGAGCCTGCTCCTTGAAATCCCTGGACTCCTGGATTTTGCTCCCGAATTCCAGCAACAATACCACAGTGGGATAGAGAGGGGCTGGAGGCCATGGAGGGCAAGGAGCAGGAATAAAAGAGTTCCAGAGTTGGGGTCCAAGGAATGACATAGCTGCTGCTGAATGTGTGGTATACTAATATTATAATAAAATCATGACCTATTCCTGGAAGTAAGACTCCTTAACTCCCTAGGAAAGTTCCAGAGACAGGGAGAAGTTTGCTTCAACCCAAAGCCTCACCTTTTGAGCACAGAAGAGAGGAGAAGCACATGACCTAGCCCAGTAAGTCCCCGATACAAGCTGCCCACATGACAGTGAGGAGAAATGGAGCCACAAAGAGATAGAGTCAGCTCATCTATTTCAATTAAATGGAGGTTTCTATGCAAACTGTGACTTACAGAACATATCATATCTAAGCTGACTGCTGGAAAAATATGAGATGCAAGACATGAAGGAGCTGATATCCCCCCAGGGGTTGTGTGATCTTCCCACTTGCTCAGGCTTCCTGATCTGGTGCTTGAGCCAAGTCTCAGCAACAGCGCTGCCTAAACAGTAACACTGCGATCTTCCTGGATCTCTTTCAAATATGGATTTTGACTTGGTCAATCTGGGGTGAGCTGCCTCCGTTACCACCAGTGCTTACATAGCCCCAGTGTCCTGTCCAATGAAACTGGCTGTGGAAGAGTCTAGAAGGCTTCTAGAAGAATGGCATTTTGAGGCCATAATGGGTAACTCAGTAAAACTCATTCAAAATACAATGAAGAAGGGAAGAATCCAACATCAACATTAGAAAGTATAACTTTTCTATACACAAGCTAGGTGACAAATTCCCTTTACAATAGCTTTGTAAAAAATTATAGTCCTAGAAATCAGTCTGGTCAAGAAGATAAAAGACATCGACGGTGAAAATCACACAGGGATGAAAGAAATTTAAGAGGACATCAGAAGACAGTAAAAGCTCCCCAGTTCATAGATTGACAGAATTAATGCTCACCTTGTGTTCCAGCACTTGCAGTTGTAGTGAGCACCTTGGGACTCTGTCCACAGACTCTCATGCACTCTTCCTTGGTCTCAAAGTTGTTCTGCTTTTCTCTGCAGCCACCATATAAAAAGGCTTCACAGCGTCCGGAGTGGGCATTGTAGTAGTATCTGATCAACAGAATCCTGCAGGGACCCATGAAGGAACGCTCCAGGCAGAAGGCAGGCCGCTGGACTGCAGGGACAGCAGAGAGTCTGCATTGAACTAGGGAAATGGTCATGCAGGGCCATCCCCATGGCAAACAACAAAATCAAACAACGTATCTGGTGAGCAGTGGGCAGGAGCTGAAAGTGCAAAAACTCCATTTGGTGGCTTGTTTTCTGGACATTACAATAATTTTGTGAAGTGTACTGTTATATGCTGAAAATGTAAATACAGTTATACACACCACTGAAGTATTTATGCATTCATTAATGGGATGATGCCTGAGATTTGAGTTAGGAAATACAAGATATTAAAAAAATGTCCAGTGCTACACGCCTGTAATCCCAGCACTCTAGAGGCCGAGACAGGAGAATTGTTGCAAGTTTGAGACCAGCCTGGGCTACACAGTGAGATCAAGCCCAGCTTGAACTACACAGCAAGACCCTGTCTCAAACAAATAATAATGCTTGTTTATTTGTGTATATACATATATATATATATATATATAGTATAACTATATACATAGTTTGATTCTTTATTTGTTTATCTATATATGAAATTATATATATATATATATATTATATGGGAGAAATATACATAGGAGAAGTTTTCATATAGATATAGTAATCTGTATAGGCTAACAATGGTTGTGTTTGAATAATGAATACATAAATGATTAATATCCTACATCCTGTTTTCTTTTGTGCATCTTTGCAAGTTGCCATTATTTATAAAAAAAATTCGGTAGCCAGTCATGATGTCATGGAAGAATAGAAGGGAGAAAACATTTTGTCTTTATCTCAATCAGTGGAATGGCATTGATGGAACTTGTTATTGTTGGCTATGTTGAAGACAATAGAAAAATGGCAAATTGTTGGTGAGTCTTAACTCCTTCTTTATATATCATTATTTTGTTTTACTCCTTACAAAATGCATGGGTTCCTTCTATATTTCAAAAATAAGGAAATATTTAATGCACAAAACGTAATTTTGCAAATTAATACATTGCACAAGAATGTTGCAGTATATTGTATATTAAAACAGAAGTATGATGTCTATTAACATATTGCAGTGAATACCTAAATAAATGCTAGGAGAAAGTGGCTGTCAGTCCTTTGTAGCAGCAGATTTCACTTTTCAGTGAAATCTGTTAGGTCCTGGATGCAGAGCCCAGAGCATCATCCTGAGTGTTCTCACAACAACACTTCTTTTCCAAGCCCTGCAAAGCTAAACTTATTGCTTAAGAACTATTATGGAAATCTTGAAACTACAAGTTCTATAATGTGTGATTGGTAGCTTCCAATGGCTACGTGGCTTGAGATAAGAAAATGAATCACTCCGAGGCATCTGTCTCAGGGCAGATTCCAAATTATAATGCCTTGGCTATATAAACGTTGGGATTCAACTACCCATCTTTGAGAATTCTCCTGAATGATTCTCAGAACTCAAGAAGGCAATCTGAGCCTGATGTAATGGTCTATGCATGTGATCCCAGCATCTAGAATGCAAAGGCAGGAGAATCACAAGTCAGAGTCCAGCCTGGGACTCTTAGACCTTGTTCCAAAATAAAAAAAAAATGAAAAAAAAAATCTGATGCATAGCTTAGTACAAAGGCCTAGGTTTATCTTCAATACTATGAAAATCAACAAATTTAATTAATTAATGGAAAATAAATAAAGAAACTAGTGTTTATGCAAAGTCATATGGGAATTGCTTGAATAGATGCATAGGGAAGGACTAGCAGGGGTGAACCATGTCTTATTTTGGGTGTTCTTGCTCTCTACTCACCAACATGTTCACCAGTATGGAAGTACCCTAAACCCACCATTAGGGTTTTCATTGAGGTTTTATTACATAGATAGCAGTGTTCAACCATTAGAGCTTTAACTCTCTCTCGTGGTCTATTCCCCTCCCAGAGGGTAGAGGGTAGGAAGGAAACTCAAGCCCACCAATCATCTGATTCATGTGTTTGGTAATAGGTGCTGCCTCTTGGGCCAGTGCCTACAGCATCTCATAGGCACGCACATAGCAGCAAATGCCCAAAGTTCCAGGAATGCCATTCCACTGATTGAGACAACGAGAAAATGTATATTTTTCACTATATTGTATCAGGGACCCAGAGGTTAGACATGCTTATGAGCAATGGCCCACTGAAAGCAATAAAGTTTGGTATCTCTGCCCTCATTCTTACGTGTCTCTGATTACTTTAAAATGTAGGATCAAATGTCTGCTCGGTGCTACCTGGATGCATGTTGATTATCTACAATATGAGATTTATTAACCCTAAATATACCTGTCCTATCACATTCCTTCTAAGATTAGGCACACCAAGATGAGAATAATACAACTACATTTCAGGTTTTTCAGGGACACTCATTTGCTTGCTTTCACAAAATCCACATTGAGATCTCCTGCAACCTGATCTGGCCTGCGGGTAGGTCCATGGAGATCCTACAGGAGGAGTGGGGATGAAAAGGACACAAGGGACACAAAGAGCAGAGACAAGTTGAGGAAGTCCAATCAAGTCTCTCTTTACTGGTGAATGAGTATCAAATTCATAGGGTATTGAGGAGGAGGGATTTGGATGCTGAGACATCAGCAGGTAACTTAGCAACAGTGGCAAGATGGAGGTTTATAGGTCAGTTCAAATTTCCCTCCCATGTGCGGGCTCATAAGCATAATCCCTGAACAATGGACCAGGCTAAACAAGTTATGCAATGTGCTGCTTAATTACCAAATTTAACTCCTAGAGGAAATTAAGGTGGTGCGGCCAGAAGATGTAAAGGTGGCAGCCAATTACAGGGCTTCCCACAGGTCCCTCTTTACTGTAAAATATAAGAGGCATATAAGAGGCTACAACGTTGAGGAGACTGTGCCTGTCTTGGGTAAGGGCACTTCTACAGAGGGGCCAACCTAGCTTCACCCATCATTGGAAGGCCGGGCAGCGAGAGGCCCAGTTCCTGTCTTAGGTGGAGGTTGTAATCCAGTGTGAGGCCCAGTGCCCATCTCTGGCTATCCAGTCAATCGCACTAAGGCAAGAGAAATGGAGCTTGCAGCATGCTTCCACAAAGCATTATCACAATACAGGTTTGCAGGCTCTGCATAATTTTCTCTATCAGCCATTATAAATCTATGGTAATGGACCTGTATAGGTTGTATTTTTATGGCATCCACCTGTTGTTTGACAAAATCTATCAACTTATTCATCATAATCCCAAGAGAAAGGATTCAGGCTTTTGGTTCTATCCTCTGAAAACAAAAGCTGTGACAAAATTCTCTCTGTGGTCATTTTTCGTCCCTGGAGTCATCTGTAACATTATCCTCTGTTTGTTGTATTTGATCTATTTGTTTAACCAATCTTTCTGACAGCAATCTTGCAGATCTCATCTCTTTAGAGTAATGCATGCTGATCCTCATCCCCAGATAAGGACTGGGTCTGCATCATGCCATGAGTTAATCAGGCAGTCTCTCCATAATACAGAAGCAAATTGCTTTTGTGTTTCAGTATGCCAAAACGCTTGGCTGCTGACTGTCCAGGAGCATCCAACTTTAAAAAATTAAGGATGAATAAGGCATGAGATAGAATATTTTTAGGTGGCCCCCATATGGGGTACCATTCCCCTCTTTTATTTTATCAACAGTTAGTTTTAGGGAGGAAGCAGCCTCTTTTATACCTCTTATATTTTAAAGTAAAGGGGGACCTGAGGGAAGCCTTGTGCTCTTTAAACTATGCCTTGACCTTGAGAGTTATAGGTTATGCCTTTTATATGATGAATATTAAGATGTTGACAGAAAGGAGCAAAGGCAGAACTAGCATAGCCTGGACCATTATCAGTCTTTAATTGTTTCGGGCATCCCAAAATAATAAGGTAGTTAACATATGGCTAATAACATGTTTGGTAGCTTTGGCAGTCTAGAGAGAGGCACAAAGGAAACCACTAAAGGTATCTATAGTTACATGAATATATTTAAGATTTCCAAACTCAGGAATATGGGTGATATCCATTTGCCATAATTCATTGGGGATAAGTCCCCTAGGTTTAACCCCAAAGTGTGGAACTAGGAGGTGTGTGGCACAAGAGAGGCAATTTTTCCTATCTGTCTGGCTCACTCTCTGGTGATGTGGTGCATAAGAAGGAGGGTTTGAGCATTGAGTTGGTGTAATTGATGACTCTTTTGTGCTGAGATAACACTGTCATCGTAATCACCGGAGCTAACATTAGCTAAAGTACAAAGGAGAACTTGCAGTCGAGTGGCCAGGTCTGCTGTGTGATTACCATTGGTCAGAGGTTCTAGTAACCCAGAGTGAGCAGGTAGATGTCCAATAAAAATAAAGGGCAAGTCCTTTTTATAATAAGCACCTGTATTTGCCTAAACAGTTCTCCAGTGCTGGAGGCACTTTTGATTTGTCCAGCTCCTTCTAGCTGGGCACAGAATCTGTAATATAAGAGATGTCAGTATATAAAATCATGGGCAGATTGAGAAATGCTGAAAGGGCTGCAGTGACAGCATGCAACATCTGTGACTTGGGCTGATGTACTGTTTGTTTGGAGCATACAGTTTTACCAGGTGAATATCTGCTAGTTAACATTTGAGTAGGGACAATGGTATTTCAGCTACCCATGATTAATCCCATTTGTGCCAGTAGATCTTTCCCCCAAAGATTTATTGGTAATCCAGCTATGACATACAGCTCTATTTAAGGCCTAATTGATAAACAGCTTTGATGTCAATGTTACAAGGGATTGAATTCACAGCCTTTCATTTGTCAGGCTGGCACTGTGCCACTGAGCTAAATCTCCATCCCGGGGGAAAGAACTCACCTCCTTGTGCATGGTTGGCAGGTACTTGTGCCATTGAGGTAAAACCCTGGGCTTTGCTTAATACCCAGAGAGGAACTCATATTTCCTTTAAAGTGCTTTTGGGCCCCTCTGTTAGCATAGGCATCATCCCCTATTAACATATCAAGGTCCCACCCATTACGGGCTTGGGTATTGTGCCTGGCAGTCTCTTTGCAATTTTCTATATATTCCGATTTCCACAAAACATAATCTCCACCCGATAAAGTTCCTTGGGTCAATCTTTGCCAATCTGTCGGTGTTAACCAGCTGTCAGCCAAAGAACTTAAGACAGCAAGAGTATAGGTGGCTGTGTCTTTCTACTGGGTAACCACTGTTTTTAATGCTCTATTCAGTTTGAAATTGAAACCTGAGTAGTCTTGAATAATTCCAACTTCTGCATACATCATTTCCGTCACAGGGAAAGCCTCCATATCATCTAGCTTTAATATTGGACGAGGCTATGGGAGTAAATTTAGAAATCATACCTCTCATTGGGGGTCACTGAGCGGAGAATTTGTAGAGGAAATTCTGGGGCTAATTTCACTTTTCACTTAAAATTTTGCTATTTTCAGCCTCTCTAATTGAGCAATCAAATCCAGATGCAATTTTTTCTTTAATCTGTCGTTTTAAAAGTTCAGCTTGGTCCCTTAATTCCTTCCTAATATCAAAAGTTATATTCGCTGAAGCCGGAGCTATACAGCTGTTACAGTATGGAAGAGGGGCACGCGGCTACTGGGTCACTTTGCTCCTGAGCTAAAGTTTAGGCGTAATGGACATTTGCTTATCTATTTATTTATTTATACTTTACCCTACACGTCTTTAAAGTCTTTCTTAAACTTTTAACAAAAATCTCATGCTGGCTCATTTCTTGTCTCAGTGAACACATTGGCTAAATTGTTTTTCCCTTTACCCTTTGTGTTTTGGAAGCTTTTCTAAACTTTCAACAAAGTCTCACGCTGGCTAATTTCTTGTCCCATAATCGCTGTTCACTTACCAAAGTTCAGCTGTGTGGTAGGCTCCCACGTGGGTCCTGTATTCTCCTTTACTTGCTCTCCTATGGTCCCCAGAACAGCGAGCGTCACTAAGTCCCCTGTTTTCGGGGCCAACGTTGGGGAGGCACTTGATGTGGCCTGCAGGTAAGTCCACAGAGACACTAGAGGGAGAGAGGAGAGGAAAAGGAAACAAGATACACAAAGTGTGGAGACAAGTTGAGGAAGTCCAATTAAGTCTCTCTTTATTCAAGGAATGAATGTCACATATATAGGGTATTGAGGAGAAGGGATTTGGATGCTGAGACATCTGCAGATAACTTAGCAACACTGGCAAGACAGAGGTTTATAGGAGAGTTCAAATTTCCAGCATGTGTGCAGGCTCATAAGCATAAACTCTGAACAATGGACCAGTCTAAACAAGTTATGCAAGGTGCTGCTAAATTACCAAACTTAACTCCTAGAGGGAATAAGGGTGGTACAGCCTGCAGATGTTAAGGTGGCAGCCAATCACAGGGCTTCCCAATGAAACCATGCCTAGAAATTTCCAAACTTGTACTTAACCTGTAATATCCCTAGATTTCTGGAAAAGTAGACCTTTGAGACCACTCCCTAAGGAGGTCACTCCTCAAGGGGGATCAATTATGCTGTGACAGGACCGAATTTTGTACCCCTTCCAAGAAGGAACATCCATTTCAATATGATAAATGAATTATTTCCTAAAGTGATGAGGCCCTCACATGCGCTCATGGATCCAATCTTGAGAAAACAACCAATAGGATCATAAGTTGACCAGGTATGTCATAGCTGTCAGCTATGCCAAGAAACCAGCAATCACCTTTTTTCACCATCTCTGGAAAACCTTAAACTTCTGGAAGCCTCCAAAAGATGGATACTGTTTATTGTTATAAGTCCTTTCCAGCATGGACAAACTCCTTTCTTGCTCTTCACCACTGTTCCTTTCTTTTATTATGTATTATTGATGGAGCTGATGGCTGTCTGTTCAGGTCCCTCGATTTTGTCTCAGAATTTGAGTAACAAGGCCACACTGGTTCAGGGAGTTGACTGTGCAGCCAAAGACCAAAGAGAATGACAATCTGAGAGCTGGGATTCAGGATTAAGTGGTACCGTCTACAGTGCATTTGATACAACAAACATATAGTCATGAAATGGACTTGGAGTTAAATCTTTCTAATTTCTCAAAACAAAACCCAAAACAGCCACCTACAAAAAACCCCACCAAACAAAGAGTTTGACCCTGCCCGACCTTCACTTCTGTTTCTTCAGGCTCTCGCACTGAAAGGGACAGTTAGGGAAAGAAGGGGAGAAGGTAAAATTTTTTTTTTTGAGAAGGTAGATTTTCTTGGAGTAGAAACGCTGGTCTCATTCTCTTGGTTGCCGACCACTGAGGTGGCAAGGAGGGCAAGGAGAGCTGCAGAGAAGCAGAGCTGATGCATCTTGCTGACCTGGACTAGAGGCTTCTTTGCAACTGGAGGCTGATTTGACACCTGCACTGGAGGCTGCTTTGAGACCTGAACTGGAGGCTTCTGTGCTGAGTTGTGGAAGGGTATTTAAGGGGAGGAGAAGGGAGGGCAGGAACTGATATTTCCATAGGATTGCATGATTTCTGGAAGGCAGACTTCCTGATTCTGGTGCCTGAGGCCAACAGTTTCAGCCACTGTCCTTCTAAAGCAGTATCACTGTGAGCTACATGGGATCTCCCTCAGGACATGGCTAATCTGGGGTGAGCTCTCCCTTTCCAACCAGTACTTTCACAGGTTCATGATCCTCTCCTATAAAATTCACCAAGGAAAAGGCTGAGGTAGGAGGATAATATTCTAAAGGTAGCCTTGCATCTTAGTAAGACTCTTTCAAAGTGGAGCACAAAAGCCCTGAACAAGATATAAAATCTACATAAAAATATGAACACATTTGCAGTATACCACTAATAAACTAGCTGAAAAAGAAATCAGGAAATAAATTCCATTCATAATAATTTTTAAAAGTAAAATTCCTAGAAATCAGCCTAATCAAGATGGTAAAAGGGATTTAGATTGAAAATTACAGAACAATACAGAAAGAAATTGAGGAAGATAGTATAAAATGGAAATCCATACAATTCATGAATTAGCAACATTTATCCTGACTGTTTTACCCAAAGTATTCCATAAATTTCATGCGATCCCTATCAAAATTGTTTCTTTACAGTACTAGAAATAATAGTCTTAAAATTAATAAGGAAATAGTACTCCAAATCCTGAACAGCCAAATTTTGCTCTAAGCAAAAATGATAAGACTGTAGGTGGAACAGGCAACAAGCATCAAATTCTCTTATTACCACCTCCCCACCACTGTCCTTTGCTCCACTACAACTCTCCCCACCTCCTGACCCAGTGAACTTGGACAAATGAGTTCAGTGTCCACCCTGATTGTATGTAGCAGCCATTCTTCTCTCCTCCACTCCAAATATAGGTGCAGCTCCACTACTGGGTTGGCAGCCCTCCTCACTTCCACCACTTCAGAGACCACCACTGCCTTCTGAAGAAAGATATGGAGCTCCTGGCATCATCAAGACAGGAGGGATCTGGATGGACCCCCTGCTAACATCACCAAATCCGACAGCCAGCTTTCTACATTGCAGAAATCTGATATCAAATCAAATGGAAGACCCCTTGCATCAAGGAGTTAGAAGACAACTGTTTATTATTATGTTAGCAGAATGGGGAGACCAAGTCCAAATCATCAGCCCCAAGTCAGCTTTAGGTCTAGTTTATATGGGATATACAAGCAGGGGGTACAAAGTTGATTTTGGTTATTATATAATTGGTTACAAGAATTAAGTCATAGGTTGTCAGGCAGGTTTGTTTCAGGCAGGTTAGTCAGAGGGGTGGTTTACCATAAGGCAGGAGAAGATAGGGAAGGATCTGGGGTTGAGGTTGTGATTGAAAGTAGGCACGTCCTTGATTAGTTATCTCAGTTGCATTGGTCTCGAAAATAGAAAATGTCTATATGTCAGACAGTATGCACAGTCCAGATGAATGTGGTCAGATTGAGTCAGGTGGAGATATCTCTAAGTCGCAGCTGATATGGTCCGTCTAGGCTAACTGAGTCAAATGTTCAGTGTTGTGGGCTGGGTGAGCATATCTTCTTTTAAGGCAGCATCACACTGTTGATTTTTAGCTTTTCTGTCACATTTAGAAGTTTCCCTTGCTTAGCCCTGTTCCCTTCCTGGATCAACACGATGACAACTGAGGCACATTCAATTCGGTATTGATGATGAGTCTGTACTATGACAATCACAGTCCCAAAGCTGCTACTTCAACAACACTCCACAGGCACTTTTCAGGTTAGTCTAGTAGGGCTTCCTCCAGTGTACTCACCCCTCACATCTAAATCCAGAACAGCAGCACAGGCCCTATTAAAGAGTGACTTTGTTGGTTGTGTAAATCTGTTTGATTTATTTCTCAGGTAGTATGGGCTTCAAAATTCCTATAAATCTGCTCCAGATTCTTAAGCTGAGTAGTGTTGACAGACCAGGTAAAACCTGGTCAGCAGATGTAGGTCACTGGGTGTTCAGTCTAGGGGCATACATTTTATTTGCTCTCCTTTGATCACCCCTTACTTTTTGTATGCAGATTCAAAGAGATATACAGGAAATCAAAAATTCTATTGAAAGTTGTCCAAACTGTCACCACAAAAGGGAAAATAGAATTTCAGACCTGGGAGACACGATTGCAGCTAGTGAACAGGAAAGTCAAGATCTTTTAAGTGTAACAAGGAATCAGGAAATAACAATTCAACAGTTGCAAGATGATGCAAAAAAACAAACAAACAAACAAACAAACTAAGATTGGTACTGATAATTGAAAAACAAGGGGACAACAGAAATGATATCAAGAGACTATATGCAGAAGTAATAGCTGAAAATTTCCCAAACATGAGAATGGAAACTGACATGTGGATTATTGAACCATACTGAACTCCAAATAGCTGTAAACAAAATAAAACTACACCCAGACATATAATAATCACCATCCCAGAAATTCAAAATAAAATTGTAATATTAAAAGCTGTTAGAGAAAAGACAGATCACCTATAAAGAAATCCTATCAGAAACAGGGCAGACTTCTTAACACAAACAATGAAGTCAAGAAGAACATGGAATGAATTATTTCAGATCCTAAACAAAATAACTTCCAACCTACTGATGTGCCCTGCAAAACTGTCCTTCCAAATAGATGGACAAATAAGATACTTCCAAGACAAAGAACAGCTGAAGAACTTCATGATCACCAAACCAATCATAAAGAATACTGAAAGACAGTCTAGATACACAGAGGAAAAAACACTAAGCAAGGCAGAAAATTGAACAGAATGGAAGGAGGAAAATGCAACAGCAGAAAGATAAAATGTGAACAATAAACAAATATATAACAGTTATAGCCATTATTTTAAATGGTCTTGATTTACCAATTAAAAGGAGTAGACTGTCAGAATGGATCAAGAAACAATATGCCATCAAATGCTGATTACAAGCAACCCATCTAACCCAAAATGAAACTCATCAACAGAAAGTCAAAGTATGGAAAAAAACTCTTCATGCAACTGGAACCCCCCAAACAAAGTGGGGATAGCTATTCTGTTTGCAGATAAATGCGAACTTCAAAGTAAGAATGAGCCAAAGGGATAAAGAAGATCACTAAATACTTGTTAGGGGGAAAATTCAATAGGAAGAGATAACAATCTTAAACAAAAATGCCCCAAATTCCAGAGCACCCAGATATATAAAGCAAGTATTATCAGAAGTGAAAAATCAAATTAGCAATAACATAGTTATAACAGGAGACACTAACACACCATTGACATCGAGAGACAGATAAACCAGACAGAAGATCAAAAAAGAAATAACAGAAATGAATCAAATGGGACATGATGGACGTATACAGTGTTCCTGCCAACAGTATCATAGTATACATTCTTCTCAGCAGTACATGGGACAGTCTCTAAATCAGATCATATACTAGCCCACAGAACATAATTAAGTAAAAGAAAAAGACCTGAAATTATCCCACCCATGTTATCAGATCAGAGTGCCATGAAACTAGAAATTAATCATAAAAGAAACTGAAAAAACCACACAAACACATGGAAATTGGATAATAAA